CCGCCAGTTTTTTTTTTTTTTTGTAGTTTGCTTTTATTGGAGGGGTGAAGCCAAATAAATAGCCACGCGACTGATGAGGGAGCAGATCGGCCTGTACTCTACAATGAACTGCATGCTGTGGGAGCTCTCCTTTATGGAATCGAACAGAAAAAGTTTTCAGCCTTGGAAAGACTACATGGGTCTGTCTGATCTAATCCGAGGAACCCTGGGTCGGAATGCCACCACCCAGAATCGCCCTGTGGCCCCTGAAGATCTGCATTCAGAATATGACGTTGAAGCGGCTTTGGCTTCTCTGCGCTGTAACGCAGTCGCAAAAAGAATCGACCCTGGGGCCAATAATGTTCCAGCTTTTCGTGTTGGATCTATAAACCGAGGATTCTCCGCGCGACAGCGATCTGGCGGCCCGTGGGACCTGTTGACAGTTTCTGCTTCTGCTCATCCGCCAATCCAAGATGCTTTGGGAGGAAGGACAAGCGGCCCGGAGCATCGCAGCAAGACTGCCCGTCAGCAGACATCCGAGCCTCAATCTCCGAACGTAATCAGCAAGAGGTGCAGTTTTTGTAAACGCAACGGCGAGACTGAATTTGTCTATAATTCTCACTGGCTAAGGAATCTCGCCGGAGAGGTAGTGTGCCCGTATCTTCGCCAGTACGTGTGCCCTCTGTGCGGTGCCACGGGCGCCCAGGCCCACACCAAACGATATTGCCCAAAGGTTGACAGCGTCTACACTTCTGTTTACACCCGCTCGGGCGCTGAAGCTCCAAGACGAGACTTTCACCCGGCTGCACCGCGGAAAGCTGACTTTTAATTGTCATTGACTGTGAACTGGTTCAACACGCGTCTGCGTGTTTTTGTTTGTGCTCATGGTGAACATGCATGCTCGTGTGTCTAAGGTGTTTTACTGCTTAAATGTTGTTTTACTATCAGACAATGACTGCCAGGGACTCCTTGGGAAACGTTTAAAATATATTATGACGCAGTCGACTCGCTCCTGTCTAACGAAGTTAACGACAGTTACCCCCCGACCCCTTTAACAGACTTAATGACTCGGGTGTTTTGCGGTGTGTAAATAATTGTGGTTGAAGCTTATTTTCACTATTATGCATGCGTGTGATTTTGAAAACTGTTTGTTCCTCTTCGTTTGTAGAGGTAAAGTGTGTGTATTTTTGGACATCCAAAATATAACTGTTGTAAAACCTACACTTTCTTCTTTGATCTTTGGTTCTGATGTGAAAAAAAAACACCTTTTTAAAAACTTCTCAACAAGAGATGACAGATATATTAAGGCCAGCTTTACTTCACAACAAAGCAATACAAGTAAATATCAAAACGCAATTTGTGCCAAACAGTCATCTAAATTGTTACGTTGAGTAAAGCAGAGCCAACGTTTATATTGCTCGTCAACTTGCGATGTCAGTCGGACGACCTCTCAGCGGGCCAAGTTCCTTGATTTCTTACTGCCACGCCGCAAATGTTCAATCTCGCGACGAGCGGCCATAACGGTTCGACTGGAAGAGAGCAGTGAATGCATTCGAAATTATCAACAAATCATAAATCGCCAGAAAAGGATCAGGCGAAGTTGACGAACTTTAGAAAGGAGAGTTCCTTGATGAGCCCGCAGATCAATACCGAGGCATCTTCTTCACGGCCGGAGGGTTCAACAACTTTCTCCTTTATTTCCTGCTCCTCACTGGAGGACACACAAACCCCTCGACGCATTTAATATTGATCAAGGAAATACAGAAACATTCCGCCAATACTAATCACACATTTTCTAACGGGGTTTTGTGTGGGGGGCAACCGAAAGGAAAGGCGGAAACGCTTCTTACCTCGAGAACTACATTCATTCGTTGTTTTGTTTCCTTTATTATAATTGATGGTGTATTCATTTCTTTCATTATATAACTGATCGATTCGTTGAATATAAATGAGATAAAATACATTTTTTAAAATTTTAAATAATTGCTTAGTTTGAATTTAAGTAGAAATACAAATGTAAAATGAATTACTAAAATACTGTTTCACGTATATCATTTAGTTTTTATTGAAGGATTTTATTATTGCGTGTAGAGTTAACATGAAATTATTACAATAATTGAATAATTATAATTACATTTATTAGAAAACGATCTAAAAATATTTCCTTCGTAAAATTAACTTTCATTTTAATTTGGTTCTTATCTAATTGGCTGATGCGTTAGTAAATATTTTATTATAATTCATTAACATAAAATTATAAAAACAAGAATAAAGTATGTTTTGATCCACTTTTTTTTAACCTGGCCCAGCTCTCGCTAAAATCCAATGTAGCCTTTGAGTCATTTTGTCCTCCAAATGTGATGTGGATGGGGCGTATATGGCATCACTCCCCCTCCACAGTCTTTCTATGGAATAGTAGTCAACTTTAAATGTAGAATTTTTAATTTAATATGTTTGATTGGGTTAAGTTGTACAGACGTCCATCCTCCGGGACCTGGGTACCCTTCCGTCATCGTCCCTCTGTCCTTATTCATATTATAATTGTCCTCTGTCCACATCTGTCCTCATCCCTTTAAAGCGCTTCCAAAGAGTTTGTACCTCCCATGGAATTTTGTATAACACGGTTCAAATTGCGCAAACAGTTGCAGGACCTTGAACGCCTTGAATAATTAATTGAACGTGAGGTACCTGAGTGAGGACTCTGCATTCAAGAACCTAGTGTGAATGAACTATACTCATATTTCTTACAGTGAACGTCTGCTTACATCAACTGGATATTGTAGAGCTGCGAGTCTGAGACAAAATCGAAGCACCCAGATCCAAGGAAGTCATCGGGGCTCATGGTGCTTGGGTGCTCTGTGTTTACAGCACCAGAACAATGCTGATTATCATGACCAGGCTGTTTGCAAAAAAACAAACAGACAAATAAATAAAATAAGCATAAATACAATTATTTTCAAATGGGAATTACAATACAATGCTCAAGAAGTCAACGAAGAAGGAGGACAAAGAGGAGGGAGGGCAAGGCAGAAGCTTGTGTGCACCGTGGATCAGCAAGGAGCACAATTCTTATAAATTATCACTCTGCCCGTCAGATATCAAAAGGCTTTTGGGGGCAACTGATGACAAAGGATTCCACAGTATATGTGCATGTGCCTCAATGCTCAAGCGGCTTTCCCGACAGGGCAGCTGGATAAACGACTCACCATGTCATTCGTCTCTGAGACGCCAGAGGGCGCAGCTTCACAGAGTTTGGCACTGCAGTCTCCTTCTTGGGTGCGAACTGACAGTGCATCTGCTTTGTCTTCTTCACAGTCCACAGCATCACCACACACGTCCTGCATCTTCTCATCAGGTGTTATGGCAACATACTGCACCTCCACGTCACAAGAAGTTAAGCGTGACGATCCACAGTCCACTTCTTGAGGATTTGGGTTCTCCAAACAATATTCTTTTTCCATTACAGGTGGGTTTGAGTTGGAGAGGGTTGGATCTGGAGCAAGAACTGAGCCCTCTTCAGGCATGTGGATTGCTGTTTTTGGCCTGTGTTTTAAGAAACCAAATGGAAACCAACTTAACGTGTTTCTTATCTGTATCATCATTACACTTTATCTTGACTTCTGTGTTAGAACAGATTTGACTTTGATTGAATAAACAATATTATTCTAATTTCCCACTTAATTTGGAATTTTGGAGCTTCCGATTATACTCAATTTGTGTGTACCCCAAAATAGTTGGAAGCATACTCCTTTAGAGAACGTGAGCTCTATAAACCTCTGAAAACTTTTATTTTCAATTGAAAACATTTAGCTGTTAAAAAAAAACAAAAAACAAGACATGGGTACTAACCTGTCTGTTGCGTTATCCTGACTGGAGTGAAGCACCTCTTCCTCCCTTGGGTCTGCAATGACGGCCACAGGGGTTGGAAGCAGTGATGATTGTAAGAGAGATGATTCAATTTCAGCTTTATTTATGGCTATCTGCCTTTCAACTTTCAGTCGACTGTTCTGTCCATTTACATTCCTACTTATCTGTAAAAAATGACTTCGCTCCTTCTCCGTGAGACCACACATACCCATTCTTTTCCTCTTTTTGGCTGGCTCTTCCGTGACTGATTCAACTTTGTCATCTTTGCTGTTTCCCATGCATTCACTGCAAGGTGCAGGTGGGCTCACTTTTTGGTTTCTTACTAAATCAGACTGCAGGTTATTCTTAGTTCTCTGCTGATCTTCGAAAGCAGTAGAACATGACTGATCAGCTTTGTCAGAGGTCAACTGAGTGCATGTTTGAGACAGTGTTCGCTCACATTTCGTCATTTTTTCCTCTTCCTTGTCCTTTGTGCTCTTGCTATCATCACTTAAAGGAGAAATCTGTCGTTGAAAATCACTGATGGGATGTGTGACTGTTGCCTCTTGTTGCTTTATAACAATGTCATCCACACTGGATTCGTCAACCTTTTTGTCAGGGATGACATCTGGTTTGGTCAGGGAGGACTGTGCTGCCGCCTGATCTTGCACAGAAATGACAATAGACATCTGCAGAGGGGAACAAAAAAGTGTGGCATTTCTTGCTGGATTCTTATCTCTCATATTCTGGTATTATTAGGAATTATTGTTGGTTTTATTAGAATAAGAGTGTCTTAAAAAAAGATCTGATTACCTGTTGTAGAAAGGTATGGTCAACATCCGTTGAGAACATTTTGTCACATGGCGTTTTTCTTATCCCGAGGGACGGAAGCTGTGGTGGATCTGAGCTGTCTTGAAAAATAAAGTACCATATATCTGAATCAAACATAGTAATCACAGTACCATAACATACATAGAGTACAGTATTAACTGTTACGTACATTTGAAGCAACAACAACAACAAAAAAAAAATATGGTTCATTAGCTTCCTTTACCATTCCTTGTGTATCACTGCACTTGCTTCAGCCATCTTCTTTCAAATTTTATCTTTAGGAATACGTTAAATGAATAAAAAGATACACGAAGTTTTTAAAATTTGTTTTATATTTTTACAAAGCTTCCAAAACGAATGGTGTCACGTTTGCATGATTTTCAATAGTCTGAAGCTAACACTGACATCACATTTATGCTTTCCTTGGGCAAATGAAGAGCTAATTTCCATAAGATTGAAGGTTTAGATACTTACTAAATCTACTTAAACAACATGTAACTTAATGTACCTTGTGGATTCATTCCCTGGAGGATAGCGATAAAAAGAAGTGAAACTTTATTTGTCTTTCATCCACCAGAACCTAAGCCAAGGCGCGCCTGAAATCTTTTACGTCAGGAAAGGTTGTATTGCGGTCAGCCGTAAAGCGCTTTGCTTGTTGCCATTGGAGACGTAAGGTAGGAAGTCATTCCACTGCTTGTCGAGCTTGTTTTGAAGGCTCGACGTCTGTTAACACTAAACTGTTATTATAGTCTTTTAACATTTATTTCAGAGCAATATTCGACAACTGTTGATATACTATTTTAACAGATCAGCTGTCGCGAAGTGCGTGAAAGTGACAAGGTAAAGGATATACTTTCGAAAGGCATTAGCCACACAGGAATTACGATGACTTGCATTACCCAGCCAACCCTGATAACTAAGTTTTAAATGCTTCATTTTAGCCAAGGTGAAAATATCCATCACCCCTCGCTTTGTCGTCTGCACAATTTATTAGAAGCTACGTTTTACATCAGTAACAGTCGATGAGTCGAAGTCGGAACCCACCTCCCCGGGGTCAAGGGGCAGCGCGTGCCAAACAGGTAACTCAGCTCAGGTCTGAAACGAGATGCCCATTCTTGAGCATCTGTCTGACCTAAGATCTGTGGAAATTCTTTGTGAATTAGATGGGGCTGCTCCTTGACTTGACCCCGGATGGGGGGATGGATGATGACGTTAACGAGGAAGATCTGGAGGATGAGCTACACAATTTGATGGGAAGAGGAGGAGGCCCGCAAAGGAAAAAACGTGAAAACAAAGGTGTAATGACCACTCGATTGCTTTCTTCCCTCTCTCCCTCCGATGTACATTAAAGTTTCAT